TATTCTATAGGAACTCAAACACTGAGATCCTGCTCTGTTCCTCAGTTAACAAGAAGCCGAACAGCACAAGCCTGAAGATGACGAGTGAGACCTCGTCGAAACGTCGCCTAGACACCCCAACTTCTACACGGGAAGACACCCGAGGACACCAAAACCTGCATTCCTGTACCCGTGAAAATCTACGAAAGCAAAATATATATTACTATAGATATGCAGGTTTTGGTGTCCTCGGGTGTCTTCCCGTGTAAAAGTTGGGGTGTCTAGGCGACGTTTCGACGAGGTCTCACTCGTCATCTTCAGGCTGGTGCTTTCGGCTTCTTGTTACTGGAACAGAGCAGGATCTCAGTGTTTGAGTTCCTATAAATACTGTTGAGGGGGTGTGGTGTATAGCCTCCAATGTTCTGGGCAGAGAGGAAGTTCCCAGGTTAGTGTGCCTTTTCTTCTTTTGTTCCTTAATTACTTGAGGGATCACATAAGATGGTGGCTCTTCGGATTTCTAGTTTCTCGTAGGTTCTTGTCAGCTGGAAGGTTTCCTCCCCGTAGAGGTGAGATATTTGCTTTCGTAGATTTTCACGGGTACAGGAATGCAGGTTTTGGTGTCCTCGGGTGTCTTCCCGTGTAAAAGTTGGGGTGTCTAGGCGACGTTTCGACGAGGTCTCACTCGTCATCTTCAGGCTGGTGCTTTCGGCTTCTTGTTACTGGAACAGAGCAGGATCTCAGTGTTTGAGTTCCTATAAATACTGTTGAGGGGGTGTGGTGTATAGCCTCCAATGTTCTGGGCAGAGAGGAAGTTCCCAGGTTAGTGTGCCTTTTCTTCTTTTGTTCCTTAATTACTTGAGGGATCACATAAGATGGTGGCTCTTCGGATTTCTAGTTTCTCGTAGGTTCTTGTCAGCTGGAAGGTTTCCTCCCCGTAGAGGTGAGATATTTGCTTTCGTAGATTTTCACGGGTACAGGAATGCAGGTTTTGGTGTCCTCGGGTGTCTTCCCGTGTAAAAGTTGGGGTGTCTAGGCGACGTTTCGACGAGGTCTCACTCGTCATCTTCAGGCTGGTGCTTTCGGCTTCTTGTTACTGGAACAGAGCAGGATCTCAGTGTTTGAGTTCCTATAAATACTGTTGAGGGGGTGTGGTGTATAGCCTCCAATGTTCTGGGCAGAGAGGAAGTTCCCAGGTTAGTGTGCCTTTTCTTCTTTTGTTCCTTAATTACTTGAGGGATCACATAAGATGGTGGCTCTTCGGATTTCTAGTTTCTCGTAGGTTCTTGTCAGCTGGAAGGTTTCCTCCCCGTAGAGGTGAGATATTTGCTTTCGTAGATTTTCACGGGTACAGGAATGCAGGTTTTGGTGTCCTCGGGTGTCTTCCCGTGTAAAAGTTGGGGTGTCTAGGCGACGTTTCGACGAGGTCTCACTCGTCATCTTCAGGCTGGTGCTTTCGGCTTCTTGTTACTGGAACAGAGCAGGATCTCAGTGTTTGAGTTCCTATAAATACTGTTGAGGGGGTGTGGTGTATAGCCTCCAATGTTCTGGGCAGAGAGGAAGTTCCCAGGTTAGTGTGCCTTTTCTTCTTTTGTTCCTTAATTACTTGAGGGATCACATAAGATGGTGGCTCTTCGGATTTCTAGTTTCTCGTAGGTTCTTGTCAGCTGGAAGGTTTCCTCCCCGTAGAGGTGAGATATTTGCTTTCGTAGATTTTCACGGGTACAGGAATGCAGGTTTTGGTGTCCTCGGGTGTCTTCCCGTGTAAAAGTTGGGGTGTCTAGGCGACGTTTCGACGAGGTCTCACTCGTCATCTTCAGGCTGGTGCTTTCGGCTTCTTGTTACTGGAACAGAGCAGGATCTCAGTGTTTGAGTTCCTATAAATACTGTTGAGGGGGTGTGGTGTATAGCCTCCAATGTTCTGGGCAGAGAGGAAGTTCCCAGGTTATATATATATATATTGTCCAGTAGCACCTTAGAGATCAATTAAGTTTGTTCTTGGTATAAGCTTTTGTGTGCATGCACACTTCTTCAGATACACTGAAACAGAAGTCACCAGACCCTTATATATAGTGGGAGGGTGGGGTGGGGTTTTCCTCAGGAGGGTAGTAGGAGATGGATGATTGACTCAATGGGTATGGCAAACCTGTTAACGACTGCAGTTAGTCCTACAGGAAAAAGCCAGAGATAGTATACAGATGATTAGCATATGGTCGGGGACAGAGGGTGGCACTTGGGGGGGAATTGTCATCGCGCCACTCCTTGGTGTGTGGAATGCCTCAGGGTGCGATTCTCTCCCCGATGCTTTTTAACATCTTTATGCGCCCCCTCGCCCAGCTTGTCCGGAGTTTTGGGCTGGGTTGCCATCAGTATGCCGATGACACCCAACTCTATCTGTTGATGGATGGCCATCCTGACTCGGCCCCAGACACACTGACCAGATGTCTGGAAGCTGTGGCTGGATGGTTACATGGGAGCCGGTTGAAGTTAAATCCTTCGAAGACAGAGGTCCTCTGGCTGGGACGGGGCGATATGGGATTGAGGGGGCAACTCCCATCTCTTGCGAGGGTGCAATTAGTGCCAGCATCGTCCGTTAAGAGTTTGGGTGTAATCTTCGATACCTCCCTCTCTATGGAGGCGCAGATTACAGCTATAACAAAGGCGGCATTTTTTCATCTCCGCCAAGCTAAGCAGTTGGCTCCTTATCTCTCTCGCCCTGACCTAGCCACTGTGATCCACGCGACGGTCACCTCCAGACTGGATTATTGTAACTCGCTCTACGTGGGGCTGCCCTTGAGACTGACCCAGAAACTCCAGCGGGTGCAGAATGCCACGGCGAGACTCCTTATGGGGTCTTCGCTGCGAGATCATATTCATCCGGTACTATACCAGCTGCACTGGCTCCCGGTGGAGTACAGGATCAGGTTTAAGGTGCTGGTTTTAACCTTTAAAGCCCTATACGGCCTAGGACCCTCGTACCCACGGGACCGCCTCTCCTGGTATGTCCCACAGAGAAATTTACGGTCTGCAAATAAAACATCCTGAAGATCCCAGGCCACAGAGAGGTTAGGCTGGCCTCAACTAGAGCCAGGGCTTTCTCAGCTGCGGCTCCAATCTGGTGGAACGCTCTGTCACAAGAGACTAGGGCCCTGCAGGACCTGACATCTTTCCGCAGGGCCTGCAAGACAGAGCTCTTCCACCAGGCCTTTGATCAGGGCACAGCCTGACCCCCGCCTCTGGCAATCTGCACAGAATGTTGCTTAATGGTTGCCATTAATTTGATTTTAATTAATTTTATAATGAATATTTTAGAATGTTGGATTATTTTGATTGTTGTTAGCCACCCTGAGCCCAGCTTCGGCTGGGGAGGGCGGGATATAAATAAAAATTTATTATTATTATTATTATGTAATGAGACAGGAATCCAATATCTCTATTCAGACCTGGTCTCTCCATAGTTATCAGTTTAGTGATAAGTTGCAATTCAGCAACTTCTCTTTCAAGTCTATTTCTTTTGTAATAGGAGAGCTGCTTTGAGATCCTGTATTGGATGTCCTGGGAGATTGAAGTGTTCTCCTACTGGCTTCTCTGTCTTGTGATTCCTGATGTCAGATTTATGTCCATTTATCCTTTGGCGTAGGGTTTGGCCTGTTCGTCCAATATAGAGAGCTGAAGGGCACTGCTGCCATTTGATGGCATACACAATGTATGCCATCAAATCACTTGTAGCAATGTTTTTCCTGCACGGGTTGGACTTGATTATCTTTGAGGTCGCTTCTAACGTGATCATTCTATGATTCAAAGGCAGTGCCACATAGCATATTGACTAGGTCAGTATGCCCTGACATTGTAAGATTTCAATCTAACTTGACCTCTCTTCCTAGGAATATTTTCCAGTCAGTGGGGCTGCAGTTGCAGAATAGGCAGAATCTGCCCCAAATGTAGGATTCATCTGCAGCTAATACCAAAAGGATCCATCACATACCGAGACTGATTTAGCAAATGATAATTGAGTAAATCATGTGGGTGTGATTGTCACAGGCTACCCACTCAACACCTGAAACAAACAATACAGATTTGCTTGCAAAGACAGCACTGGCCCACACGGATAACATTACGTTGATATTATGGTACCGATTATAACTATTCACAGAAAAATGTACAACAGCTTGATTAAATCGTGCGTCAAAGTTGTGCAGTAGCCTACGAAAGCAAACAAAAAATAGCAAGATATCCAAAACCTAGCAAAGGGAAAAGGAGACCAAACATTCTCATTTTTTGCCTGGGGTGCCATTTGTTTAAGGGCTAGCATTGATTAGAGGTCAATTGCCACCACACTTGGAGCAAGCAACAGTTCTGCAAGTACAGCCTCTTTGGTCAAGCTAGATTCACAATAAACCTCCAACACAGGTGACTAAAGCTTCCAAGCGGCAGAAATCTCACATCAAAGCCAAAATTTCTCAGAAAATAATTTTCTGACAATTTTTTTTTGAAAAATGCTCTTTTTTCAAGCTGTTATTGTTAGACGACTGCAGTCCTCCCCTGGAGAACGTTCAGGAAGACATCACCCCCTATGTTGCCCCCCATGAGTTTTGAGTTCATCTGTGGATCCAGTTTTTAATATTTCTCAATATTAGTGAAGGAAGCAATGGGCTTGGGCTCCTGTCTTTTCCAGCCTGGCTCTCCTAGCTCATTCATCCACGAGTATGAAGTAACCATGGAGTTTCAAGGGAGCTGGAATCCCTCAGAATTTTCTGTTGCGGAATTTTGCTTCCGCCTGCCAAGAATATTCAGCAAAATGTCACCCACAATTTCATCACACACAAACAGAGCGAATACTTCCGTGAAGCCATTTTTGCTCAGCCCTTAAAAACTCGCCAAAAAACCCCACAGGAAAATATAGCCATCCTGTATTTTCAGCAATTAACAGTGAATCCTGTACACATCTACTCAGAAGTAAATCCCACCGAGTTCCTACAGGGCTGCAGCCTAAAATATCTCAAAACTGTACTGCAAAAGATGCGAATAATTCCAAAGATATTTACTTACCTATCTGATGGGCACCAAAGATCACTGGATCACCTTTGGAAGCCTCGGTGTCTGGTGGGGGAGAGAAGCAAACAAACCTTTTGAAAAACCAGAGTAATGGCATTTGTCATAATTGATGCAGAGTGGCAGGTCTTCTCTCTTAGCTACTTAGTTTGGACCACTCCTCATACCGTGCCTAAATTCAGCACTGCCTGATTTGATTGATTACGACAATAAGCTTTGGACACAGGAAAAAGCATCTCCATCGCAGAAGGATGCTATTCGGTCTCATCAGCCCACAAACTTTGCAGTGGCCAAATACTCTGATAGATGGTTGCTCAGCCTCTTTGTCGACTCTCACCTCCTTATTTTGGCAACGCCTCCCTGGTGCCATCTTCTTCCTTTGGGGGAACCCAAAGTTTGTTCTGAAAAAGCCATCTGTGGCTTTCAGATGTGAGGAGTGAATGGAGCATTCCTTTCTCTTACCCACCTGAATTGACACAGCTACCTCCTTCTCAGTCAAGGCAGCCCCCTTTCTGCCAACTGAGCCTGCCTCGCATTGGTTGCTAGGCAACCAAAGCAGGCATATTCTGCAAGCGTAATAGGCATTAACTCTCCATCCTTTTTTTAGGTTGTGTTTTAGAAATTGTATCCCCCTCCCACAAAAAATAAAAATAAAAATAGTAATGACCAGATCCAAATTGAATAAATCGACAAAATGCCACAGTCTTCTGAATGTAGAGTAAGTACCGGTAATCACAGAAGCAGCCCACATAGTCCATAGGTATTTGTGGAGCCAGAGTACTTCTCATTTGGTAGGATAAAGTGGGGTGCAGGGGGAATGTTAATCTTCACTTCTTCTCTGCACCTGTTTGCAGCTTTTTCACCCCCTTTTTCATCAGGCCTGCAACATTTTTATCACCCTATGGTGTCATGGAGAAAGCAACGGGTCTCCCTGCCTGCTTTCTTTATTTATATTAGCCTCCCTCCTCCCCCCCCAAAAAAACCCCCTCAGTGCCTTAGAAGTGGATTTAGCCTATATTTTTCTCTCAGCCACTCTGAGGCAAATTAGGCTGAGAAAGAGCAACGAAGCCTAGATCACCCACTGAGCCTCATGGCTGAATGAGGATTCGAAGCCAGTGGCCCCATGCAGACATTTGTCTGCTGCATGGGTGTGCAAACTAAGGCCCGGGGGCCGGATCCAGCCCAATCACCATCTAAATCCGGCCCGTGGACGGTCCAGGAATCAGCGTGTTTTTACATGAGTAGAATGTGCCCTTTAATTTAAAATGCATCTCTGGATTATTTGTGGGGCATAAGAATTCGTTCATTTATTTATTTTTCCAAAATATAGTCCAGCCCCCCAATAAGGTCTGAGGGACAGTGGACTGGGCCCCTGCTGAAAATGTTTGCTGACCCCTGGTCTACTGCTTCATAAACCGTTATTATAAAGCCATGGATGAAAGAGTCAGACTACTGGTTGCCTGTGCGTACACTTGGATAAGAGGCTGTATTCCCCTGTAGATATTTTGGCAGCGCCAGCCAGCATAGCCAATGGTCAATGATGATGGCAGTCGTAGTCCCACAAATATCTGCCATAGGTTTACTACCCCTGGTTAATGAAAAGGTGCAATGTCTTCTGCTGCAGAGTATTGAAATGGGGTTAACAGTGGAGACAGGGATCCTAAGAAACAAATCCACTCTTAACATAGGACAACTTTTAATAATAAATAGGGCTACCAAAGGTTGCTAATTATCTCTGTGTGCCTTTAGAATCCTTCCTTCAATGCAACACAGTGCAAACACTTTGGTTCCCATCCTAGATCACCCTCACTACAAAAAGCCCCTTACACATGTAGAAAGCAAACTGTTATTTGCTATTTTTATTATTATTGGGTATACAGTCAGCCTGAAAGCCAACCTAAATGTAATGCAGCAAGAGATCTGCGATTAGGATCTCCAACTTATTTTAACAGACATGTAGGAAACACTAGGAAAGCAGGTATCTAGGAGAGAGTGTTTAACTGTTTTGTTATTTCTCCTTTCCTCTGATCTCCACTATTGGCCTGGGAGGAAAATTTAAGTTCAGTATAACCTATGAAATGCAAAGAGCTATCCTTTCAAAGTTGCACTGTCCCTTCAGCACTTGTCCAAATTTTTTAAAAAAAAATAAGAATAAAAATCCAACTGAACAATGTTTGCAAAAATGCATATATTAGGGGGAAATATGCATAAAAATGAAAATATTAGTGAAAAGAACATGCCTTATATTAAGGAAGATTGTTTCCAAAAATGTGTACATTAGTCAAAACCACATGTAAACATGTAGTTATTTTTTGGGGGGGGAATGGAATAAAATACTGAAAATTTTTCATTAGGACTTTGAAAAAAACCCCACATGTTGCTGCAAAATATGGTGAACTGCATTTAAGATTGGAAAAATGAGAAACCGAGAGAATCAAAACTGGCAAAGCCTTCCATCCTTAGAAGTGGGTAAGATCTAACAGCCATCTGGAATACCGTACCTCTTAAAGCATTGAGAAAATGAAGAATTCCACTGTGGGTCAGCCAGTTGGCATCATCCAAGTCCCAGTTTTCACTCAAGTCCATCTTTTGGTGCAAGGTCAAAGGAATCGCTACTTTGAACGATCTGTGCAAAGTCAAGGCAAGCTTTGCAAGATGACAAGAGGTGGCAGCTCTTTCTGAAAGAAAAATGTGCAACATATAGTTAATTATGTTAATTGCCAGCGACTTCAGGATATGAAAGAATGGAAGGTTGCCAGTGAAGCAGAAATGCTGCAACGCATTTAAGATTTCCTCTCCACTTCATCTCTAAGCCCCATCACAGTATGGCTATGTGCACACAACACACCCTTAAAACACAGCCGAAGCACATTTCTTCACTCAAAGAATTCTGGGCATTGTAGTTTGTTTAAGGTTGCTGCGCATTGCAACTCTGTGAGGGTACACTACAGAGCCCAGAATTCTTTGAGGAGAAAAATGTGCTCTGAATATGCTTTAAAGGTATAATGTGCGCATAGGATAACATCCAACATTTATCCAATGAAAATAGGGACTGTTCAGTTGTGGGTGAACATATCAGACGACACAGCGATTCTTCAAACAGCTCTTGTTTATTCAGAGGCCAGAACAGAACTGAACTGAAGGGCTCAGTCAGCCTGCTTATATAGAGCTCCAGTACAACGTTACTGTAGCAACTTTCTAAAACTATCCAATCACTGAACGTCACTTTCGATCCTTCATTTGCATAACTATCTACAGTATCCCCCTGCTGACCCAGGGTGAGAACTTCAGTACATAACAGGGACGTCCCATTCCATAATGATAATTTTACTATTTATACCCCACACATCTTACTGGGTTGCCCCAGTCACTCTAGGCCAGTGTTTCCCAACCTTTTTTGGGCAAAGGCACACTTGTTTGATGAAAAAAATCTCGAGGCACACCACCATTACAGCCCCGTGACGTCAGCACGCAGCGTCGCGCCGGGAGGGATGCACGAAAGTGTAAGTTTCAATTTTTTTCCCCTCCCCTCCTGTGTAAAGGGGAATGCACTCTGCTAAGTAAAGGCACTTGCCACAGCAGCGTCAACGTCACAGCACCCACCGGCACCCAAGAGAGAAGGGGTCTCAGCAGCCCTTTTGCCAGGAAGAGGAGCAAGAACGAGAGGAGGAGGAGGAAGAGGAAGAGAGTCCCCCCCAAAAAAAACATTCTCCTTTTGATCTTCCTTATTTGCAATTTCTCATTGCAAAACAGCGGTTGATATAGAGCTGATTTTTTTGTTATTACAGTCCCCACCCCCTCACCTAGAAAAACACCCCCTGTCAATTTTATTATTATCATTATTATTATTATTATTCCCCGCCACTCTGGGAGGCTGAAGCCCTTTAAGGCTTCCTTCTGTCCACTCTCTGTGAATTACCTGCCCGGAGCGGGTTTCTGGGGGGGGGGGCGCTGCTGCCGGTGTCCTCCCCGTCGAGTCTCGCCTTGCCCGGCGCGTGGCGGCCGCCCTTTCCCACACTCTGCCGGCTGCGCTGCCAAGCCCCGCGGCTCGGCCTGTCAGCGTTACCGGGCTCGGCGGGCGGTAATTCCCGAAGAAAGCCAGCGGCGCTTGAAGAGCTGGCAAGCCCCCATTTGCATGTCTGTTTTCCGCAGCCCTTGGAGAGGATTAAGTTCCCTCCTTCCTGCCGGGGAACCTCCAAGCTTTGGGGGTGGGGGGGGAGGAGGCAGCAAAGCGAGGCAGGAAGGAGAGCGCGGCTTGGCTGGGTGAGCTTTGGCAGGGGCAGGGAATGAGAGCCGCGAGGCGGGCGCTGCGGGCGGAAGCGCTGCCCGCCGAGCTCGCAGGCAGCCAGGCAGGCAGACGGCGAGAGCCCCGCGCTGGGTGGCCTCTCCTCGCCGCCGCCGCCCCGCCTCTCGCCGCCCGACTCGCCCGCCTCCCTCCCACGGAGGTAGGCTGGTGTGCCGTGGGAGGGAGGCGGGCGAGTCGGGCGGCGAGCACACGCGGGGCGGCGAGCGAGCGAGCTCCCACATCCCATCGCCGCTCGCTTCGGCTGGCCTACTGGGCTGTCGCAGGCGGAAGGCCTGCGCATGCGCGAGGTTTTCGCGCCTTCCTCCAGTAGGCCGGCCGAAGCGAGCGGCGATGGGATGTGGGAGGGAGCTCGCTCGCCGCCCCGCGTGTGCTCGCCGCCGCCGCCCCGCCTCTCGCCGCCCGACTCGCCCGCCTCCCTCCCACGGAACACAAGGCAACGTTCCGCGGCACACTAGTGTGCCGCGGAACACCGGTTGGGAAACACTGCTCTAGGCAGCTTCCAACATATATAAGAACATAATAAAACATTAAACAGTTTGGGGGGAAAACCCTTCCCTGTACAGGATTGCCTTCAGATGGCTTTAGGGTCGGATAACTCCATGCCCTCCAACATTTCTCCAATGAAAATAGGGACATCCTAAGGAAAAGTGGGACATTCCAGGATCAAATCAGAAACTGGGACAGCTTCTCTAAATCAGGGATGTCCCTGGAAAATAGGTGGATTAGTGAAGGTGGATGAAATCTCTTGAGGGTGCAGTTAGTATTGGTCTTGTAACTCTACCCCTCCTCCATCGATCATATCAATTAAACTGCCTCTCCAATCCTTGGCTGTGTTGCTTTCTGTAGGAAACTCACTAAGGCCCCATTTGCACTATACCTTTTAAACAGTATCAAACCAAGAATCCTGGGACATTTTGTCAAGGGTGCTGAGCGTTGTTCAGAGGACCCTGTTCCCAGGGCCGTCTTAAGCATATCTGGCGCTGTGGTGCAAAGATCCCTCCGGCGCCCCTCCCCTGGCAACTCCAAAACAAGGGAGGGGCGGTGGAAAATGTCCTCTGCCTCCTCCACTGCCCTGAACCCTGGTGTGGTGGCAGCAATCAAGCAGGAAAACGTGCTGGTGGACGTGCTCTCCGGCGTCGGGGGACCCGAGAAGGCTGCACACAGCCTTTTGGCAGGAAGCAGGAGGAGGACAATGACGACTAGGAGCAGAGCCGTCTTTAGCAGATGCAGAGGCCATCCTAAGCCTCTGCAGGGATTGCTCTCCTCCTGCGGAGGCTTGGGAAGGAAGCTGCTCACCCACCAGCCATATAGTTGGCGGGGTGCAGATGGGGGGCATGCAGGGAAAGGGGAGGCTGCCGGCAAAGCCGTGCAGCTCCCCCACTTGCTAGGGCATTCCTGAGAGACCGGCGCCCTGGCGCAATGAACCACTAACACCAATGGGAAGGCGGCTCTGCCTGTTCCTTTCACAGAGCTCCAATTCCCAGAGTTCCCTGGGAAGAGGAACTGCCTAGTGTCCAGCAGCCCCGAGAATGTCAGGACCTTAAGCCATCACGGCTTCTCACTTTGTAGCACAGAGTCCCTATTTCCCATCTTTGTTGAGGTACACTAATCGGAATGGCTTCACATTGGAGGAAGCAGAGGGAGGAGAGCTGCGGACTGTGGCCACCTATTCCGCCCCCTCCTCTGTCGCTGTTCCTGGGAGCCAGAGAAGGCCTGGTGCAGGGAAGAGTCTTGTGCCAGGTCCATCATTCCCCATAATTCTTTGGGGGAAGCCATTACCGTTTATAGTAGTATGATACTGCCTTTAAATGCATAGTGCAGATGGGGTCCAACTCCAGTTCAATGCAGTTTTATTATCTATATTTGTACAGGGCTGGCATCCGCACCTGACATCCTTGGGCAGCTGGCAGAGCCTCAGTGCCTTGGCAGGGCTTACTGCAGCTGCCTGCCTTAGGGCAGCCTTTAGTGTATATATATATTTATTTTTCCTGGCCTAGCACCCAGAGCAGCACAGGGAGCCTGAGCCTAGCTGACATTTTAATGCCGTTTCTGTCATTTCAATCAGCACCCAATGGGCTTCATTATAATTTTTATGCGCTCCCCACTTATTTCGAGTCATGAAAACGTTTCAGGTGCCGTGCAGCAGGGTTTCGTTCCCTTTGGAAGGTGGATGATGTGTTTGTGATTCTCAGCCATTGGTATTCAGAGGCATGCTGTCTCTGGCTGGAAATTTACCACAGACATTATGGCTCGTGGCTACGGAGAGCCTCATCCTCCATGAAGTGTTCTAATCCATCGAAGCTGATGTCTCTCCAGGGTTTAAGAACATAACGTTATGAGACAGAGGAGGTGTCAAGTGTATGGGCTTGGGGGGCAGTCCAGTCCAGATGATTTCCTTGGCTCCCCTCCAGGCCTATGATCCTGTATCCAATAAGGGATATAATCTAGTAGGAGAGGCTGTGGAACCTGTTAAACAAGGCACTGGGCTTTGGCTGACTAGTTAAGTACCACGATTTAGCATATACAAAGAAGTTGTGGGGTGCCATTCATTGAAGCAAATGGGTGGGCCCTTCCCTAATCCCACTCACCTAGCTGGTATGTAGGAGGAACAACAACCAGAGTTATAAGGTTAAAAGCAGGTGAGAAACTGCGGAGAGACAGGTTTTTGCTCTGTTGGATCTAGAGTTGTAACTAATGGAAATGCTAGCTCTTTGGGGGTGTTAGTGCTGCAAGAGCCTCTATCCTATGCTCAGATTGTAAATAAAACCATACATTCTAAAAACACTACAGTTTCTGCTGACCTTCATTCCAAGGAAACAGAACACTAAGTGCTGAAACCCCTGGGGTCTCTCACGGCTTGAAGGGGGAAGTGTCTGGCCCCGTTGGATCAGTCCAGTAGTAGGCCATGTCATCTAGCATCCTGTTCTCACAGTGGCTAACCTCATGCCAATGGGAAGCGCAAACGCAGGACGTAAACACAGCAGAGTCTCCTCACTTGTGATTCCCAGAAACTAGCCATTCAGAGGCATACTGCCACGGATAGTTTCGGACTGGAACCACAGCATGAGCAAAGTACTGATAGGCGATATCATGTTGTTGTTTAGTCGTGTCCGACTCTTCGTGACTCCATGGACCAGAGCATGCCAGGCACTTCTGTCTTCCACTGCCTCCTGCAGTTTGGTCAAACTCATGCTGGTAGCTTCGAGAACACTATCCAACCATCTCGTCTTCTGTCGTCCCCTTCTCCTTGTGCCCTCCATCTTTCCCAACATCAGGGTCTTTTCCAGGGAGTCTTCTCTTCTCATGAGGTGGCCAAAGTATTGGAGCCTCAGCATCACGATCTGTCCTTCCAGTGAGCACTCAGGGCTGATT